ACAGTAGCACTTTCCTGTTGATTTCACGAGGATTACAACTTAAACTTACGCCTCAGGACATGGGTAAGGTGACTTTGGAGATCAGTTGAGGATTTGTTATCGTAGGGTTGTTATATTATTCTTGTATTATATTATGGGAATTGTTAATATCTTTTAAATATATTTTAGACTTTATACATTTATAATTTTACGTTAAGTAAAAGATACCATTTTTTTGTACTAAAGTATACTCGTATAATTACAATCTTTATATAAAAATCTTAGTGATATTGCTAGTACATCACCCTTCATATAAAAGATAGGAACATTTGGTTTTATTTAAAGTGGAAAAGAGCCGTAGGCAATGGAACTGTATCGAAGTGATATTATCCAAAATTTACGATCGCTTTTAGCATTTTATACTTTGCTGTATGATTTACAGTTCTAAAAATAGAAGGAACATACATTTAATTTTAATATTTCACCAAATTTTTTACACATATTATCGACAAATATGTAACTGGAAGTATCTTACATACATTTTTACGTATATTTAAATTACTAACAGTAAAATGTACAGATATGTAGTTTGTGGGGTTACATATGAATTTAATCTGCCTTAACTGGTTTTTAAATTTTGATCATTCTGGATTTTTCTTTATTTATCTATTTTATAAAGCAACAGATTTTTTATTAATTAATCTATAAAATATACATAATCAACCATTTGAATATACATATATCTTTTTATATGTATGTATAATTAAATTTATAAAATCACCGAACAAACATTTTCCATTTTATTTATTTATTTAAATCAATAGGCTTAATGTTTCTCTTTAAATAGTAAATTTATTCAATTAACCGGAGTATCGGAGACACAGACACAGAGTGTATCTGTGTCATTGCAAACAATAGGGAATGTCAATCTGCAATGTGGTGACTCAGAGGCTCTCCAGATACAAAATGATTTAATAAAATAGTAGGAGAGTTACACTTACGAGTATTTTTTAAATAAGTTTCGAACTTGTTTCTTTAGTCGATAGTTTCACAGACTCCTATTTACCAATATTATATCTTATTTTTTACTTTTTTGAGACTAGTTGTAGTTGTGAATATATCTAAAAGCTTCTTATATAATATTTTTTAAGACCATTTGATGGTAAATAAAAATAAATAAATAAGGATTCTGATTTTGTTATTCTCTAAATTACTAACAACAATAAACTGAAATTCTGTATATGTGATTATAATTATCGGAAGTTTATATATTTAATATTAATACATGAATGTACGAGTATAACGACTACTTGAATTCAATTTTTTTTATTCAATATTTAAACTAACAAAATTTTACCACATCGGTATGTTTTGGTCTTAAAATTTTAACGACGGAGTTTTCAATGGTAAGACCCAGTTTCAACAATCATGATTAAATAAGTAACTTGGGGTTAAGGCGTTTGATGCTCTGTTAGATGTATCGAGCGTCCCACCACGCACAAATGTCCGTGTAAGGCCTCGGCCTCGAATTTTGCGGGCAGCGGAGCGGGAGCGGGAGCGGCAGGATCTTACGCGTATAATCAAATGGACCGACCCTCGAATACAGCGGTGCCCGCTGCCCGCTATTTTGGAGAAATGTATGCGTTTTCGTGCCGCCGCCGCTGCCGCTCCGCTGCCCGCAAAATTCGAGGCCGAGGCCTAAATGTCTTAACCAGCCACTAATATTAATTCCTGCTCTAGCGGTCGACCAAATGAGTAACCCAATGTCAATGGCATTGTCAAAACTCAATTGTCCAATCACAGCCTTGATTTCTTGTAACCATAGTAACGTCATCTGTTTTGTCAGTTGCGACTATTTCCTTGTTATTATCAATAAAGTGAATTAAAATTTCATTTAGTATGATGATTTTGCCTCCAGCTTTTCTATAACATTGAAAAATAAGTTTTCTTTTTATTTCTTATAATTTGAACACAATTTATGTCTATATTTATAACACAATAATATATAACACAATTTATTGTCAACACGATTTTGACAAGTTACATCTAGTAAATTGAAAAGAAAGCTTCTTGTGTGCTAAATGTATGCAACCAACGATATATAAAATTTGGTCGCATTAGCTTACAAGTGACGTATCGAGGGATATATACGATCAAAGTATAAAGTGGTGCATCGTGGCAAACGTGCCGTGTTAAACGCTATAGTTTCCACTTGGTCGTCTTATAACAACAACGAATAATTTGGTAGTCGGTCATTTGACGTGACGTTTAATAATGTGTTGTTAATTTGTCATCGTAGGACGTAAATATTTTAACAGACATTTATAATTTTTAAGGTTGGTTAGTAAATGCTGTGATTAGACTAAACAAACACTGATTGGTGAAACTGGGTCTAAGTCTATTAAATTTTACTATTTTCCTTTTTTTATTCTTTTTTTTTTTATTTCACTATTGGTGTTTCGTTTATTTTAATTTGAGGTGGCATAATATTTTAATGTTTTAATTACATATTAATTAAAATAGGTACAAACAAAACAAAATCGAATTAGACTTAGTTTCTTTAGTGTTTGTTGCGACTTCATGAAGTAGAATAAAAAAGTATATATATTTAGTATCTAAAGCCATTTCAACTTTGAAAATATATCATATTTGTAAAACTTTAATAAGTAAGTATCTAAGATTTATGGCTATCCCAATTCGATTAAAAATAGTTGTAAGTTGTAACTAATTTTAACCAATATTTACAAGTTTAAATATCCAAACGTTTTAAATTCGCTGTCAAATTACTTTAGTACCCTCGTCTCTTTACCAATACTCGTATACTGAGGTTGAAAAAGGGAATACAAAAGTAATGTTTACACTTGGAGCTGCTACGTTTCGATTTACAACTTCTTTTTTATTATTATCATTACCGAGTACATAAGTTGAGCCATATAACAGAAGTTTCTTAATCTTTGTGGTAAAAATCGATTAAAATTTTGTTCAGAAATAATTAAAGTACGAAAAAATACTAAAAGACAAAGTTACTCCACTTATAATTCAAGAACGGCTGAACCGATTTAGCTGAAAATTGGCAGCGTGGTAGTTTAGAGTCAGGAAATTGCAATAGGATACTTTTATCCCATTCGACAGCATTCGCGTGGGACTTGACATTAAACGTCAGTCACTATAAAACGGGAAATATCGAAACACAATTGACAGCTATGCAATTGACGTATAATGACAGATATGTAATGACGTAATGATGACAATTAGATATTTGTAAGAGATCTTCTTATTACTATATAAAAATAAGTCTGGTTTTCCTTCCTGACACTATAACTTCAGAACGAACGAACCAATTTCCACGTCTGCATTCTTTGGAAAGGTCTTGGCTCCGTGAGGTTAATAACAAAAAATTTCAACAGAAAAGCGGGAAAATCTTTTTTCACATACAGCGCCATAATACATAACATGTACTACAAATCAACATTTTAAGTAGATGGCGCCGGTGCATGATACATTGTTTGACAGCTTCTCATTGTTCTCTGCTCAGTTAATTTCATGTGACAAACCGGTATTTTGTTTGTAGTTTCAACTCTTAAAACCATTTAGTATTAGCGGGATAAACTTAGAAAATCATTGTTTTTCACATGGGCAGCTATATTTTGCGTGTTCACGAGTTGGGAAACCATCCGCTTTATTTGTGTTAACGTTAGACCAAAAAACAAAAAATGTGGTTTACAAAGACGCACTTCAATGAAACGGATAATTTGCGGACACGTCTAACGCTTCGATTCGGTATCTACTTTGGATTCACTTTCATTTACTTAGAGAAGTTCAACTAAATAACACTTCATTTTTGTAATCGAAATGAATTCATTACTGTTGTGAAATGAAATAAAAATTTTCCTTTTCAAATATAAAACAAAAAAAATTCTTCATCTTTTAATCACCAAACGAAATGTTATATAAAAGCCTTCTGGTGGCGAAACTACTAGGTCTACTAGTATATATATATATCTGCGTAATTAATATTATTTGATTAACTAATAATTGAGGTTAGTAAAAATTATCAGGTGTCACCCGCATAACCACCTGCGTAGTCACCTATGCGAGTGTAGTAACAACAATGAGTGTTTGTTGATATAAGTAGAGGCGAGAGTATAGATGACTGGCTCTCGGTGACACTGTGAAAGCCATTAGGGCTAACAGCTTTAGAAAAAAAAAATTATTACTGATAGTCTCGCAAGAGCCGTCGCAGGGATTGGACCTCTTCGAAGTGAGATATTATTCAAACCGGCTGTGAACAGTTTCAGGGCCTGACGACAGTCTAGAATAAAGGCAATAGTGACATCGGTTATGCTGACGTTATTCTTTTAAAACACAGCAAAGTGCTGCTTCTCCGACATATGTATATTATGTTTTTTCGCCAAATAATTTGTTAATGTTTACGTGGAGTGCTAAACACAATTAAAGTATTTTTTCCATTTGATAGCGCCAGGATAAAATAGTATTAACTAAAATATTCACACTTTAAAACCTACATTGGATATGTAACTTCAAAAGTTTTGTATTTAGTTTAGTTTAGGAGTTTAACATCAACATCCGACAGTGACAAGTACTCCCATTATAACATTGTATTTAAAATAAAAAAAGACAATAGTTTGTTTATAAAAAGTGTTTAATAAACTTATTTTTGTTACATTAACGCATACGCATGTTAGTGAAGTGCAATAACTTAAAATAACAGTGTAAATTACAAATATATATTTACAAAGAACAGTGAGATAAAAAAGAACTGACAATCAGCTGAACGTATGTACCCACAAAAGTGTAAACATTTGTTGTGCAAAAGACATTAGTTATAGACAATAGTCATTAACTTAAATTTAATTATCAACAAGAAGGAATCTATTTGTAGCAAGTAAATATAGTGCGTGAAAGGATATTATTTGGACTAAATTATAGATATTATAGTTAAAACTAATTTACAGCGACATCTGTTAGATACAGCTTACAATATTAGCATATCACATACTATGGCTAACAAGTGTTATCAATGTGGAAAATTCCTGTCACCAACAGATGGCGTGAAATGTTGCAAGTGTAGTTCAGTATTCCATCGAGCATGTACTAACATAAGCCCTAACTCTCGCATATCAGCCAAATGGTCCTGTCGAAGTTGTACAGAAAAAGGTAATACAGTGAACCGTAACACTGACAGCAGTAAAACTAAGCCAACTACATCCACTGAGAGTCCTCTAAGCTTAAATGTAAATCCTGCGGAGAAATACGTAGATGCAGACATGGGAGAAACCAGCGCCAATATTACCCTGGTGCAGGAAATAAGACTCCTTCGGCTCGAAATGGCGACATCTCGCCAAGAAATGGCGAAATTGAACTCAACTATGAGTGAGTTCAATAATAGAATTAATAAAGTTGAGGAACGTATGACCGCTCTGGAGCAACAAGTCTCGAATCACAATTTCGAACACGACAGTTCGCAATTATTGCAAACCCAAATACAGCAATTGAAAGCAGACCTAAGCCGAAGAGAACAGGAGAGTATGTTAAACGACATACAAATCAGTGGGCTACCCGAACAACAGGGTGAAAACCTCATGCACCTGTGTCAGGTTATCACAAATAAAATTGGCACCGAAATTGACGCCCGTGATGTAGTTAGCGCCGAGCGAGTCGGACCAAGGCGAAGCGTAGCACTCAATGGCGAGCAGGCGCGTCCGAGGCCCGTAGTGGTCAGACTGGCGCGGCGTACACTGAGAAACGATATTATACAAGCGGCACGAGTGCGGCGCGTTATAGATACGTCGGGCATCATGGAGGGAGCGCCGAAGCGCATCTACATTAACGAGCGGTTAACGGCCACCAATCGACAGCTATTTCACAGGGCTAAAGAAGAAGGTAAGAAATGTGGTTGGCGTTACATATGGTCAAGAGATGGAAAAATATATGTGCGACGGGAACCAGGTTCATCCGCCCACCGAATTTGGTCTGATAACGATATTAATAAAATTTTTGGTGCAAGTCAGGTTGGCACAAATATAATTTAAGATTAAAAAAAAATATTTATACGTACCGGTTAAGCGAAGTCTTAAGAACTCGTTAGTCCTCATTATTTTGTTATTTAATTAATTTTTTTTTGTTTCGTTTCTTAGTTTTTATTATTTATACACTTAATTGCATAATGTATCTAGTAAATAATATCAATATAGAACAATTTATGGTGGCTTATATTAACATGAATGGCAAAATATGAAACTTAATTATAATTGTAGTCGTGTCCTTGGCGGATGAGTTCCTCTATATATCAATTATATGTTGCTATGGAAACTTTATTAATTGTCATTCTGAAGCATTATTATTTTCTTTAATATTACATGTCGAATTATGTATATATCTATATCCTAATAAGTCTATGTCTAAAATAACTAATATTGTACAAAAATGATCAGAGAAAAAAAGGTTTAGAGTTGGTTTTTTTTTTTTTTAGGTTTAAAAAGGTTTAGAGATTATATATGGCTGCTAGGTGACTTCAATATAAATTTTTTTAGATAAATAATCTTACACTCTCTCTTCTTAACCTTTCCTTTTATGTAATTCTGGTCTGATTTTATAAATTAAATGCCATTTTCATACTAAATTTTAGAAATTACTTTGTCACTGCACGTCATGGATGAAAAGGCTGCCACTGAAAATCAGTTTCTAGGAATTTCCTAGGTTATGCTGAGTGGCATACCTTTTTGGGACATAAGCTGCAGCACTTTTATTTTTATTTTTTTATTTTTGTTATTATATATATATTTTTTAATTAAGTTTTTGGTTCTAAGTATGTTCTGTATTATTATTATTGTATTTTGGTTTTGTTCAAGTTTCTTTTTTTTTATTTTATTTTATTTTTTTTTTCTTTTGTACCGACTTATATTATAGTCTTATTATTTGTTGTTTCTTGTCTTCAATGTTTGTCAAACATTTATGTCCCAAATAAAGATTTACTTTACTTTACTTTACTTTACTTTATTTGAAAAGACAAGTTAAGGTAATAGCTGTAATATATGTAGATACCTATATATTTAGGGCTATTTACACAAGTCAACTATTACTAAATTTAGAAGATTTTTTCACCATTTTCATGAAGATTTGTTTTTATTTTCTAAATCTTCTATTCTTTTAGATTTAATGATTTTTTTCTCAAAAAGACATAGTCACTTACATGAGAACATACATACAAAAGTAGTCGCCAGATTATTTGGAACTCAATTAAAGATAGTATGATATTATTACAAGTGTGTTACATCGTTGGTATATCCAATTATTTTATAAAATATGTTGTGGAAGTTGAGATTTAAATTCGTTAATAGAGCTTGCATATCTCATAGTAGACGGTAATTTGTTGTAAAGTTGTTCTCCCTCAGATGTAATTTCCTTTTTTGCAAATTTTGTCCTAGTCTTTGGGAGAACTAGTAAAAAAGTAAGTAAGCTAGGTCGACGGGTGCTACGCGTAATGACTTGTTTCGTAAATGATAACTTAGAGTGTACAGATTTATTAATAATTTTTCTTATTAGAATGCAGAAATTGTATTTATAAAGTTGTTTTGAATTCATAATCAAAGTAGATGTAAATAACAGATATTTAAAGAGTTTTTTTATTATTATATTTTGTTTTCTTTGAAGTTTTTGTAATTTTGTTTTATAAGCATTACCCCATACTTCAATTAAATATAACAAATGGGACTTAATTAAAGAGTTGTAAATATTATAGTGTAGTTTTTGTGGTATGCACTTAGAAATATTCTTTAGTGACCCAATTAAAGAGGACAGTTTTCTTTTAATATGGTCTATTTGATGGTGAAAATTAAGGTGATTATCTATTCTTAAGCTAAGATATTATATCGCAGGTTTTTTGCTCGATTACTATGTTGTCAATAGTTAGCGGATCATGTTGCAAAATTATTTTATTTTGGTGAATAGTAAAACATTTGTCCATATAATAAATTTATATCACAAAAAATAATTAAATAAATACCCTGTCTCCGGGTGATAATAAAACTTAATATTGAAATAGATGATTAACATTTAGATTTTTTGTCAAACATCCGAATGTTTAAAAAGGCTTTATATTGAATTTGAGAACACTGAACATTGATGAGCTACCCCATTTCATTCGTAGATGACCTTCGTAGAGCATAGTTTCATGATTTAGAATTAACGGTATGTAAATTTTATGTGTGTGTAAGTATTATCAGGTACGGTAGATAAATAATGTTCATTTAAACATACACATACATTGTTTCATTAAATTGTTTGTCACAAATGAATTGGAAGAGCAAATAAAAATAGCCTCGTCAGTTATTTATTTAAACGTGAAAAAAAATATAAATATCCCTATATTATTTTTAATTTTCCCCATAAAAAAGGAATATAGAGTACCAAAATTAAATTGAATTTTGTTTACGTCATTGAATTGAACTTATTCTGTTCTATAATATTGAAATTCTGTAGCACTTTTCGATGAATCAATAAAATGTTAAAAAAATATTATGTTTACATAAGCGCCTGCTTTTAATAGGTGTTCACGTTTTGCCTCGTAGGCGAAAAATATAGACAAATAGGCGAAAAATATAGAAAAATAAAGACAACGGGAGGACCTGCAGTGAAAAATATTTTTGCAAAAAACTTAATTATTTTAAAGAGATGAAGATTAATTTAAACGTTGTCCTGCCAAAATTCAAAACTTATTGCCATAAAATTTCTGAGGTTTTAAGGAACTACGGTTGCCTTGGAATTTCGTGTCGATGTAAGGATAAACCTTTTGGAAGTTTTAACGTGTGTTATCGCAATCCTAACGTCAGTTTCGGATTTTATCTCTGTTTCCGTATTATAAATATCTTTGTAGATTACTTTACAACAACAATGGATTCTTAATTAGAAAAACGACATGTACGTACATCCTCATTATTATATAAAATTGAATTTACTGTAAAGTAAATAGCACACATTTAAGTCATAGCATATTATTCATATTTATGATAAACTTAAGATTCAGTTATATAAATCTTTTACTTTAAAGAAATTCAAACAGAAACAACAGTCAGTAACAGTATTCTATTTTATTACTAAACTTTGTTGTATTATATTTTACTAGCTATGCTCGCGACTTCGTCCGCGTGGAATAGTTAATTTGGGGCATCATATTTATCCTCGGCTTTATAAATTATAATTGGAACCCACGATTTTGTTTGAATCAATTTCTGTTATTGTTTTAGATAATGGAGTTTTTCAAGAACGTAATTATTTTAAAGTACTTCTGCGTAACTACACCCCCCCCCCCCCATCCACCTCGCGTTCAAGCAACACTTCTTCTCGCCTGCCTGCCAGCCGCAGCGTCATGTTTTGCACATCATGTGGCGCGTGTGACTTTTATATCGGAGTTATTGTAATATCTTCTAAGATGTTCACTGAAATTAAGTGATGTCAAAGACAATTTTGTTCACAATTAAATACTTTTAATGAACAATACATTTATTTGGATAAGGATTAATATTATTATGTTGATACAACTCTAAAAAACAATTGGTAATAATGAATTAATTTCAACCATATTTGATTAACTTTAAAAATGTTCTAGTGAGTTAATTTTAAAAGATAGACATATACTGTTGTGGACATATTTTTTTTACATAATTTTTAGCCATTCCTATTAATTCTTTCATTGAATTTCTAAATTGTAAGTTGGACAAACATAAAGGGAAGGTCAGTGTTCAATTCTTTTCTCTGTCTGCATGAGAAAAGACAAAGCTTACGTTTTTATATTTTAATAATGTAATTAAAACATTGTTTACAGAAAAAACAAATCCTTAATTAAAACACGTTGAATACACTAGCAAATACCAATATGATTTTTCCAAGTCATATGTACTTTCTGAGAGTATTTAGACACCACTGACAGACGGTGAAGGAAAAACATCGTGAGGAAACCTGAACTTATAATTTTACAATTATAAGTTTGAAATTAATAAACTCCTCTTGAGCAAGCGTGGTGGTTAATGCTCAAACCTCCTCCATGTGAGAAGAGGCCTTTGTTCAGAAGTGGGCTCTAATAGGCTGATGACGAATATAGTATCTAATGATTTCTTACAATATAACGTTTAAAACAAAGTAGAGAGAAATAGGTGAAGACTATCACAAGGTCAATTTGTAGTAAAACTGTCTGCTCTTTTTCTGTGGATTTTAATTAATTATCGACTATTTTGTGTTATTTTTTTTATTCTGCATATCATGGGTATAATATATAAAAATAATTATGTATAGTTAATTTTAATTGCTAGCAGCTGTTTCTGTACATTGACATATAGTTATATTATTTCTTTTTAGATGAAATTTATGGTAAAGTTTTCTTAAATGTAAATAGGGTGATCAGGCATTATGATTTGTCATATCATTCACTTCAATAAAGTTGTGTTAGAGAATACATTAATTAGCACTGGGCTGCTCTAGTTATAGATTGCGTGTTTGACTTCAAAATATTGTTTGTCTTAAAAAATTATACATATATGTATGATTGACGTTGTGTATTTGGAGTATTAATTGCGACGATGTTGTAAATTCGGCAATTAAGTATAACGAGTAACTACCGAGTTTTTTCCACCTTGTTGAAATGAACATTCTGAGCTACTCTTGAATACATTTTATTTTAGTAGCGATATCGAAAATGTTAAATTATTTTAACTTCGTCTATATCAAAGCAACTGATTTGACTGGAAAAGAAGGTTAATTTCGAAGTTTTCTACAAGACAATTCTGATTAGAATTACTAGACATTTTGAGCATTTAAAAAAAATCTTATGTTAAACTTCCTATTTAGACGAGTTGAAATTCAACAAAGACTAAATTGTTACCTGTTATTATATTATTTATTCTTTATGTCCCTTTCACTGCCGTGAATAAAAATATAATAATAATTTTGTATTGGAACCAACTCGGACATATATGAAATTGATTAAGAGAAATTTATATTTAATATTGTATTATTGCTTTAATTTCTCATGCTAACAGAGTCCTTTTACACATTCTCAACGAGCGACCGAAGACCTTTCTATTGAAACATATCGCTCCAGAACAAACAGGGTTTGTGAAAGGAAGGGGTTCCCGTAAGCAGATCTTTATTGTTCGACAAATCATAGAGAAATCACGAGAGTTCAACAAGCCGACATAAAATTTCATACATAATGCATTTATGATTCATAAAAATAGTTATTGCTTATATTGAATCGCTTACCGATAACATCGAGAGCTATTCTATAATTTCTTGTCGGCGATACGTGGAAGTCGACCCGACATCTGTATATGGATCTATCGTGAGACCGGACATCACGGATATGGAGACCGTAGCTTGGGAAGCCGACCCATCTTGCTCGATCTCCGAATGTGTCATCTGACCAGTGACCCGTTGATCCTGAGGCTCTCGTGTCATAACTGCAATATAAAATAGGACATGTATATATAATTTCTTATACAAGAGCCACTATAAAAAAATAATAAAGAAGTTATGTATATAAAGTTTAATAGAAGAACTAAAGTAGATTATCTCTTTATGGCATTTCTGATATATTTATACTTTTTTTGGTTTCTAGTAAATGAAAATTAAATAAACGTTTTGTCATAATAACAGACATCAAACTAAAAAAGATAAATCCACATTAAAATCTGACATCAATTACGCTCTCACGGTTAAATAATGTTATTGGACCGAATTAATGTCATCTACATTACAATTAAATTACAATACAATTAAATTAATGACTAATGTTCAAAGCTGATTGTGAATAACCATTCAATTTACGTTCGATTTGCATAATCATGGTGACAGATTCGGGAAACATTCAAAACAGTATATTTTCACTATAAGTGTATGATAAACATTACGTAATGTTACTTAACGTTATTTTACCATAGATATATTCAGTAAATCGAGATCGAGATGCATTGACACCATTTTCTGTAAACTTAGTTTGTGGCAAATATTCAATATTTGACATGTTACTGCTCTATTTGACCAAGCGCTAATAATTTTCCCTGTAACAACTTTCATAGCTCTCATCGTTATGGGTGTATTTTGCGATATATCAATGATAAATTATAAGTATTATACATATATATTTATATATGGCGTTTATTGGGTTATTTAGCTTTTATTTAAGTGACATTGAGTTATTATCTTCATAGAGACAGATTCATGCAAGAATTTGTGTTTAAATCCGTGTTTAACGCGGTATTATAGAAATCAATTTATTTAAAGAATGGTCGTTATACATACGTGTGAAGTGAACAAAATATAGCCTTTGCGTTCAAAACCACGATACGGGTGCAATCGGTTTTAGTATGAACCATTTGGGACGATTCAAGCGGTTTACGTTAGCACTGTAGCACTGTGAGTAATTTGAAAACCATTGAAATTATTGGTTGGCTTCATAAACTACAATTAATTATTGTTGCAAGAATATTTTTAATATATCCTGAAAGAATACCACAAACCAATGAATACATATATGTATGTATTTACCTATATTAATTTAATGATAAGATAGCTTTTATCTTAAGCAGAAAAAGTTTTCTTACATATAAAATATAGAACTTCAAACAATTTGTTTTAATAAGGTATAACATAACAGAATATTTTGTTGTTCAATCAATCATAATGTTTTGTGGTACTGAATATGATCAGACGGCTTTGTTGTACTGTTCTATTTGTAAATAGCCATCGAAAAGAGACTATATTACTTGTTACTATAGAAAGTGAAATTTGATATATCATACTCAAGCATCCCCTACCATAGACGCCAACACAGAGCCAAATTACATTTTAGTATGAATCGTATACAAAGACTCTTGTATCCCAGATGGAAAATATAACAAATAGAATTAAATGTAATATACCTCTGTTATTATAAAATAATCTGTTATTATAAAATAGCCTCGATATTATAAAACAATCGTTGGATCAAGAATACTTCGGCTTTATAATGCCAGCTTTAAGTTGAGGTGTTCCTTCTACTTTAGACTTATAAAGTTAATTCAATTATATAAATAATAAATTGCAAGACTTTATAAAATAATATAACAAGTGAATTGAGGTCAATCAAATAATGAAGTTTATATCTTAATATGAAAACGATGTCTAAAAGGTAATTTCGTTAATTTTTTTTTACTTGAACATACATATGATTTTTAAGCATAAAATTAAAACTGAATCGATTGTCGATCAATTGATAGGACAGAATATTGGATTGCTATATACGGAACAATTATAATTCATTGAAACTACTTTACGTCCTACTTTTATATATATTACTGTATAAACCAAAATACATACATTTTTTACTTAAATATAATTTAACTCTTAATGAATTATAAACATAGAAAACTAATTTCCCGAAGTTGAAAGTCAATGTAACACGATCGCAATTTTATTCCTTACTAAACAATTTTCGGAGTTATTCCACAGAATTGGCGATAGTTAAAATTTTGTAGACACGCTGCAAACGAAATAGGTTCTATTTCACGAAACATTGGGTTGCTAGCTCCGTTGATATTTTAACAACTTTTTACCCTGATTTAGAACTGTAACAGACTAGCGTGAATACAAGTCGAGAAACTGGAAGTTTATATGTTTACAATTATTTTAACGATTTTTTTAAATTATAAAACGTTACACCTGGCACATAAAGGAAGACTGAGAATTTTATGAGATTTTTATATGTATCGATATACAAAGTTGTTTGTAATTTATTACTTTCAAAATTTTACATCTTTAAATAGGTACATATTAATTATGGGATAGAATTAATCACATACCGATGTAGAATTATGGTTTCCTTATACTTAGACAAATAATGACAGCAATATGTTTATATTTGGCAAAGGTAATAACGACTTTCACCAACAATTTTGCAGCATAATAAACCACAAACTCCTGAATCATTGAATAGAAATATAAATAAACGCTTCATTAGTTAATTGAAATAATTTACATTACATTATAGATTTTGAAAATAGTAATTAAAAAACATATTACATTATAGATTTATTAAAATTAACTAACATATTTATAAAATTTTATAAATTGTTGCACATGACCAAATTTAATTTTGTTAGAAATATTATTATTTTAAATATTTTTTTTAAGTAAATCTGGTGTGGCGTTCAGTTACTTTTTGATTCTTATATCACTGAGATTAATTCGTATTAAAATATTTAAGGAAATTTGAGTATTTACAATAATTAAGAAATGTTGAAAATGTGACGACAACTCGCTATTTTGATATTCAGATTCGCACAAGTGAAATGTGGTTACGAATAATATATTACTTGTGTATGAGGCTTATAGCGGAAATTTTATGCTATATGAGCTTTTTTACAGTAAAATATAAAAGGGTTAATCCTTTTGTTGAGGTTCATAATGTTGGGCGTGTCTTTTTTCTGGTCTTAAGTAATCTGTCAGTTTAAACACATGTAGTTTTTAACACTTTTCCACAGTAACATTCCACTTTCGAATTTGTTTGAACATGTATAGCTTGCTTCTGTTTTTCTTTCGTGAAAAGTATTTTTAGATTTGGAAAAACGTTTAAGTAAAACGCCTTGGTTTTATAACACTTTAGGTGACACAAACTGCTGAAAAGTATTTTAAAATAATAAAAATAGTGAAAGTCATAATTTTTTAATTATTAAAATCACTTTTTAAATATAAATATTATTTTACAACTGAAAATACATTAAAAATAACCTATATGCTTGAAGTAAGTATGTGGAATTATATCATAGAATCGGTTTTCAAGGAAAAGAAAGACGGAGGAGCACAAAAATTTTCTTTTAATAAGTTTAATGATTTTAAACTCACAAAATATACATTTCAATAAATTTTATTAGATTTAAAACGATTGAGAGATTGAGATTTAAATCTGTTATGATATTTCGGTAGTTGTTTTTTTTTAATGTTACGAGTGGTCTCGTTCCACCGTAGACTTTTAGATATCAAATAGACTAGACTTCTAATCATAACATTTAATACTAATCAAATTGTGTTGCATACTTTGTTACATCCTATGTAAATTAAATTTCCCCACAAGTGCCAGATTTTGCATGAAAAGGTTTGGTTTACTAACAAAAAAAGGTTATTCGTCGTGAAATATGAAACAAAATTAAGCTTTAATGCAGATTGGATTTATTCGACAGATTTATAATGGCGTTATTTAAAAATCTTTCCTTAAATAATTTGGTTTCCTTACTCCTAAATTATATCTTTTATGAAGATAAAGATATTCGAAGAAATTCTGAAAGCTAATTATATTAAAGCCGCTTGTTCCAATGTCATACTTGGAATTCTGTAATACTTTATAAATAAATTTCGCAATAATTTTAATAATAATGTCTCAAAATTTTGGTTTGTTTTTCTTTACCAATATATTTTAACTTTATGTACTAATTCTTATTATTAATGACTAATCACATACAATTTTGTTAGGATCACCGTTTTGCAATCATATCAAATTATTATTTTTCCTATAAGAGATATATTTTCGATTTATTTCAACCACCCGATTAATGCATTGGTGAAATACAATATGACATTAATAAACAAAGTTTGTTGTATTAAAACATCCATCTGATTTACCTGTATACAGGGTTGTCGTCTCTGTACCACACCACAAGGAGCAGGCTATCATTACGTTGTGGAGGGCGTGAATCGCAAGGTAGGTTTGCCTCTCCTCCCACTACCGATGACACTCTTGTGACCGTGCCAGTGATAGAAGACAATGGACTGTCTGTGGAGAAAAAACAGTTTACTTACTTGGTATTTCAATTTGTATTATATATATTTATATAAAGGTACAGTAAGTCAGCGGTGGTCTAGTAGTTAAAGGCCCGCCTCTCATGCATGAGGGCGCGGGTTCGATCCTGGCAAGTACCAATGTGATTTTTCCGAGTCACATGTACTTTCTGAGAGTATTTAGACACAACTGACCAATGGTGAAGGAGAACATAGTGAAGAAACCTGGACTTATAATTTCACAATTATAAGTTTGAAATCACCAACCCGTCTTGAGCAAGCGTGGTGATTAATGCATTCTCAAAGAGGGTTGATGTCAGGCAGGCGGCCGGTCGTAAAACTAATTAGCCAAAACTATTTACAACATGTAAGGCAGACCGTGGCTAAAGCTGGAAAATTTCCAGGAAGAAGAAGAAGAAGAAAATATATGTATAGTGAATTCCTTGTTCGAATTCTATTGTTTATTAAAAAAATTTATGATAATGAATACTGAATGTCCTCTAAAAATTTATTCAAATTGAATTTTGTTCGTAAAATTGAAAAGTGTGTAAAACGCAATAAATCAACGCGTGTAAAAAAATGTCATAGAAAAATATTTTCACTCTTAAAAATTTTTTCCTTGGGACTAACAACGAAAGTTACATGCAGTTAAATTTGTAAAAGTACATACATATCTAAGTTGTAACATCATTTATGTAACTAATAAATTAGTATAAACATAACATAAAAATGTTAACTTGAGGTAGTACAAAAAATTGTGTCGAAACGTCGTAACATGAATGATATATTATACGATTACGGGTTATATGTTGATGGGAAGCTTGTGTTAAGGATTTTGATTGATAAAACTAGCTAATTACAGATATAAACACTTTTTTGGAAGTTTGAATTTCTTTACAAAAAACATTTTTTACATAAATACATATATACATATGTATATGTATATATTAAATTTTTTCTCTTACGACAATTCTCGGGGCTTACGAAACATTTCTTAAATTTGGGAGCTCTTTATACTGCGGTTTTGTATAAAAAGTTTTTACTACATATATATATTATAAATCCTTTTACAATTCTACAAAAACCGACGCAAATTAATATGTTTTTCGTTTTATTCGGCGCATTTGTTGATATTTTGTAAAAACAAATAGAATTATACATTTAAAATCGTCCATGTGTGTTTATATATATGTATATCCATATCTATGTGCGGGTCTGAGTGTGCTTTTAGGTACAATATCTATTCATCTCTTTATGAATGGAATAATGTAAAACTCTCTTTGAATGTCTGGGGCAATTTAAATAATAGAGAATTTGTAAAAAAAAAACGTTTATGATCATAACTTCAGGTATATTTGAGCTTATGATAAATAGAAAAATTATGATTTTAACTTCTGCTTCAGAATGCTCGGTCATTAAAAAAATAGCTATTATATGTATAAAGTTTTCTGCATTGCTCATACAGAATCGTGTATCTGCGGAACCGTGTTTTAAAATCATCATTAATTTATAATATATTATGTAAAAGAATTTATGCGATATTGGAAGAATTATATACAATTTCGGTGAAATAATTCGATAATTACATATTTTTTATTTGGTTAGGTAGGGAGAGGCGCTTGGACACTGGAGGTGAGCGTATAACGCGCGTTAGATAAGGGGCCGCTTAAACCTACACCTGGGTCGCAAGTCCCAGGCACTGTTGAAGCTTCTCTCCCTGCAACGCGATGGACCCGGCACCCCCACGGTGAATCCATGGAATGCTGAGAAGTTTCGTCTCATATATATTAAATTTTCATTATACATCAATAACACTGAATTATATATAGTACCGTTTCAAAAAGTTTACATGGAGTAGCAGTTTTTTAATAACTTAATACTTAATTAATTTTTCCCTTATTACTTCTACGATCTTTACTACCGTTGTTTAACTTTATGCAACGAAAAAATAAAAGGGAAGTGCATATGAATGTTTTTGGAATGTGACACGTTAACGTTTGACGAGAAGGCAACAACTCATTTGAGACTGTGTTATTTTCATAAAAGTTAATATTTGATGCTTATTGAACAAATAGATATCTTTCTCTTTGACAATGTTAAGAATATTTGATTTTGAATTATAAATTGACATATATTAACTTTAGTAGACCTAACTGGATTCCATTACAAGTAAATAATTTCGATGTTTTATGTCTGCGAACTAAACCAAAATGACTTCAATATATTTTACATTAATAAAATAATGATATAAATCCGTCACGTAATCATATTCTTTAACATCCTCAGTAACAACATCTTCAGTCAAAATAACAGGGATAGGTGTCTATAGATATAATTTCATTATTATATATTCATCAATAACGATCTTGAATAAAACAAATTTTAATGAAAGTGTAAAACCGTCTTAAGAATATTGATAATGAGATACTCTTGGTCTTGACTGAGGTGAGGTGACGCTTTAATAATAATTCCGAGAATCGATCTAAAAGAAACAGTTACAAATTTGACAAAGGCGCTCGAAATGAAAGACTATGTGGGATATCGTAAGATAACGTCAAGAATTAAAATTTCAGTACTTCTTATATTGCCAAGAAGATTTGTGTACATATATAGATTAGTTAATTTACTTATAATTTCACTTTTCTGAAGATTTTGTCAATTTTGTATATAAATAAGTCTCAGTAAATTTTGAATTATGTAAGCCTCTATGTACGTATGGGTAACAAAGTGACGGCAACTTCAAGATCTATTGTAATATATATCAAACCTTAAATATTCGGTATAAGATTTGACTCTCTTAGACCCATTTGAAAAAACTGTTGTCCCGTTATCCGAATTTCTGACGAAATCAGAGCCTGAGGCCTGTGTTAATACAATACCAAGTTTTGTTGTTTCTGTTGAATGTTGTTTCGTCGTTGTTGCTTCTTCATTGGTCCAAAGTCACTACTTGGTGACGGATGCGAAGGTCACATAATACATCTGCTGATGCTGAAGATGTGTTTTTTAACCCGCTAAATCTACCGCAGTTTATCACCGGTGAAAGCAGGCCGGCAATGAGGGCGAAAAAAGTAATAAAAATTGCTTGTATTTTTTTTGTTTGTGTAATTGCTAGTTATAATTTTAATCTCCTTTATTTTTAATATTCTGCAAACATGAATACTTATTCAATACTCATTTAATGATGTTATAATAACTAACTACATTTTGATATTAGTCTAATAATTGTTTTGTACACTTACTAGTATAGTTACTTTATTTTATTTTCTAAAAATTATACATAACTATACTATATACATAACTATAAAAATTATACGTAACTTACTTTATTTTCTAAAAATTATACATAACTATTTTAAGTATGTAGTAAGTTTGTGACTTTATGTGTATATATTTGTTGATTTTTTTATTTATGATAGTTTTTTCATATGCAGGTTGAATGGTAGAAACCGCTACTTGGGCGACATAAAATCACCTCTTGTTCATGAATATTTTATACATTGATTGTTATATTCACTTGCTATTATTATTTGTCTCCTTTGGTAAACGATAATTAATATAATAAAGTGTATGTACTATTGAAGGTGTTATTTCAAAATTACTCTGAATAACAAAACATATTTTACCAACATTTAAATTGTGACTTTTATGTCTTTATATTGAAAAATGAAAATGCTTTTTCGTGGCAACTGAATGTACAAAAATAAGTCGAATAAACAGATGAACGAAAGCGTTTCTGCACTGCGCAAAAAACCACTTTCACATAATGAGATGAATGATTTCTATATGGAACTGAGAAGCAGTATATTTGTTAATTTTATGTTTGAACCACAACTACTAACATTATAAGTAAGAAAGCGATTTCATTATCTGAGATACGTACTAGATGTCCTTTGACTCATAGTTTAAATGACAGTTTGATGTTTTTAACCAGACAAATGCACATATGCGAAGTTTTTACACGAATTTACATCAAATAAGATTTTTTTTAAATTTTGCATTAGTATGAGTTTGATTAAGCTAACTCCCGGGATAATTATGTTATTGAAAGAACCTTAGGACTTTTGTAACTAACATCGAATGGAAGAAAGTTATCTATACCACTATTTGTTTGTACGGTACTACTCCTACGATGATAATATTTAATAGGTTAATTTACCATTATAATTTTTTTATCAAAAGAGCATTATCCTGACTTAGTCCCATAGATATCAAGCAAAATCTTTATAAGGGGTTCTTCAAAGAACCAAATAAAACTTCTATTTTATTTTACTTATATTTTTTTTTGTTTATAGCCATGGAAAAGTTGCGAAGCTGTTTTGCAAAAAATCACGCAACCTGGACCTCGCAAGTAGCTCTAGATTTACCAGTTGATGTTATTTATTTACACTCCTGCAATGTTTTCCAACATGAAACATACATGAAAATCCTAATTGTCATTTAAAAATGAACCTTACATACCGAGTAATAAAATTCTTTCATAGATATATAATATTTTTGGGGTTGCAAAACAGACTTTGGTAACTGTCGCGGAAAATTAATTAAAACCGTCTTACTCTGCATTCCCCCTTTTGAAAGTTAAAGTTGCTGAATCGACTTGACTAAGTCTCACTAAAAGTTGTATTGTACGAGTTTGTAAGCAGGTAATGTCTTGATAAAACAAATTGTACGGAAAATATTTATGACAATTTTCCAAGTTAAGAAATTATAATGTAAACTAGAATGTAACAAACAATATTTTATGCAAAGTGTAAAGTATTTTTATGTGGTCTAAGGCAGTGTTTGTTTTTAAATTATCTTTTTTTATATGTATTTTTTTATTTTAACCTATTTTTTGTTTATAATTTACCATAGTTATTTCAGATAAAAAGTCTAATATAAGAGTCGGGAGAAATGATGGAATATTTGACCAATTGTTATTTATACCGCATTAAAATCAGGACGTTTAAAAAAAAAAGGTTCAACTGTTGTAAGAACTGGGACTTTTAACAAATACTAAGTCCAAGCAAGAAATTTTTGACTACTGTTTTAACTTTTTAGTCTGGCGATTCATGTTTTAATAACAAATATTTGATTCGTTTTTTACTATATAACAAATTGTCTCTGTCATGAGTATTCGTAATGTAAGGGGCAGGTTTTATCTATGTTATCATTATGCATAAAATCATAAGACTATTCTGTGCGTGATTCTTAAAGAAATGCAATACAAGGAATTTATAAATTTCCATTATTTGATATGAACGTAAAAGCAGCGTTGATATGTATATTCAAATAGAAAAAAAGAATGAAAACTCATTTACTAGAGTAGGATTCAAACTTGTGATTTTTGAAATATCACACCGTTTATTAATAAAGTTACCTTGTCCTACCTTCAGCCACTAAATCTAGAATTTTAGAGTAACTATTTAAATTTTAATGAAATTAAAGTATAAGTTTATACATACCCTTTAGGAAGAAGGTAGCAAGTGAAGAATCAAATTTCTCTACCAGTATACAAGTCATTAAAGTCTTGAGATAAGTTCTACCTGGAAAACTAATTGACTACCCACAGTATGCAGTTTAAATACATATATATGTATATGTAGATACTACAAATTAATAGCTCTCCTTACTTCCAAGCAAAGATCATTTTTAAAATAAAACTCATATTACATATAAACACTGTGTAATTAAGATGAGATTGATAAGTTTCGGAAATTTATTTTAAATTAGGGAAATAAAAAATTACTTAAACTTTAAATTTGATGCTGAAGCATTTCATTTTCATGAGTCTTACTCAGTTAGTTCACTCCACCAAAAGTTTGAATATATTGTCAATAAAATTAAGGATAATATTGAATGTGAAACTAATGCAACCCTTATTTATGTAGAATTGAAAAAAAACTTTTTATTTCCTACAATACCAACGGTGTTCAAGTAACAAGCGAACAATAAAAAGGTTTAAAATAAGTGTAATATTATTGGTTTAAAATAAGTGTATATTTTTTGATGTCATATAAAGTATCAAGTTGTTTTGCTCATTTTTGTTCTTCAATTTAACCTCCTATATCCATTGTTTTATATAAATATATCGGTATAGGTTTTGCTTTAAGAACAAACACTATTTTGCTGGCTTCAAATACTCGGCTAAGGCTTCCTATATACAATATCAAAACTATAATTTTATAATACTCCATAGATCTGTATGGAGAAATTTATTACAGGGCATCTGTAGTGTGCATGAATTATAAAATGAAATACCATAAACCATAATAGAATAATGAGAGTGACTAGAATTTTATTCCTAAAATGGAAACTTGTTTGGGTGAGATGTTTTACAATTTCTTGGTACAGATAACATCTGCTTTTAGTATGATATAGAACAGTTCAGACTAAAAGGTGTAACATCTGTATGTATATCTAAATGCTTTTAGCCTTAAATCACCTGTGTGATTTATGGCTAATAGCATTTAATATGTAAGTGGAACTTCAAATTTGCATATCGTAAAAAACGTCTAAAAAGTGAAAGATTTCATATCTATCAAGATAGTAGAGTAGAGGTTACTGTTAATTAAATATCAATTTAATTAACAGTAACCTCTACTTACACCAAATGATTTAGTAGGGCCATAGATATGATTGTTTGATTAATTTTAATTAGATGTTATTGATTATTTATTTTTAACAAGGACAAAAAATTTCTACTATAACAGGCGAAGTGGTATTTGATTCTTTATATGAATATTATATAAAAGGTTTTAAAAAGAACTCAATTTTTACTATCCGTAGCATGATACTGAACCATTTACATATTTAAATTATAACTGAAACCAACTGTACTGAACATTACTATTCGGGACATGGGATCCAGGATGAAACAGATAGATAAATGCATCGCTGGGTCTATGAAAGACTAGATATTTGTGTGTACAAAACATTTTATGTTTAGTGGTACTTATACTTATCATGTTAATGTAAAAGTTGTTACAATAATAGACTGTCTGACCTTAATGAAACTTGTTACTTATATGAAAAGCATTAATATTTTAAATAAGTATAGAAGAAGATGATTCTCTTTTGAGAGCTTCATTGCAAGAGCAATGACAATTCAAAGAGGATATTGTCATTTCAAAATAAATATTTTTTTACAAAACGTGACATTATAACATCATTTTGTTACTCGTTTTTTTAACTCTAACTAAATATATCATCCCATACGATTTTAAATGATACAGTAAAAAATTTCCTTTACGCCGTCTATCGCTCTATCCAACCCAGTTTAAAATTAATTAGGAAATCCTTCAAGGCCCTCTTATCATAATGATCAACCGTAAAAAAGCAATTATATTTCGAAGGAGAATATTGAAGTCTTCTGTTTTAATTACAACGATTGTTATTTTAAAGGTTGTATCTAAAGTTGTATAAAACAATGAACGTCGTAATATTTTATTGTGATTTTATTAGAATAAGCAGTAAAATTAACATATTTTTATTAAACAGTATTATTAATTGTATAATTAATTAATTATATTAATATAATACAGTAATATCAATAAATATATTTATAAATATTAGGTATTAGTCATACACGCGACTTAATAGAGTAAAATAGTGATTTTGGGCATTCTATTTTTTCTTTATTTTGGATTATTAAAATCGTTTTTGGTGCTAAAAATACATTATTGTAATGTTATTCTACATACAATTTTAGACGTATCCATTGCATCACACGTGCATATCAATGGTATGTTAACTATAATTTAACCAGAATTCCAAACCGATACATATTGATTTGATTATTATTATTAGCTGTATCATTTTGTTCTGATTTCTTTCAAATATTTCTGTGTCACTCATAAAAATAATAAAAATCTACGTTAAAGTACTAAACTCACCTATTAATAAAGAATTTTCTGATTCCATTTGAATGTTTATTCTGTAAGATAAGTTTTTAAGAACGAAAACATATAAAGCTCCTAAAATTTTTTTTATATTACTTATAGCAAAAAGAATCAACATATTGTATATCAAGGGAATAATTCTAGGTCTGTTAATATTTTAAAGATATATGACTTAGCTTTGCAAGCAATGTGATGTAATTCTTATCCTGACTGGGGATTAATTTTTTTTTGTAGGTTTTATAATTCAACTTGAACAAAAATTACAATAAATATTTAGATAAGATGCATGGAAATACACAAAGAACTAACAGTATCAGTTTTTAAATAAAACACTTTACATATGCTGCTTTATAGACTTTTAATTATGATTAATTCTGATTTTGTATTAGTACTCTGACTTTCATAAAATTTGTGAAATATCCACTAAAAGCCTCAGAATCTCTTTTTGTAATTTGAAACCGTCACTTAGTATTTAAGTAACCACCACTAAGAATTCTTTCATATATAAATGAATTTGTAGGTATTCGATATCGAACATTTCCGTAGTAACCAATAATTATTGAAAATAAATAAATAATTATAAAGGACGAAAAGAAACGGAAAAAAAATATACTGGACCTATAACATTATTAGGAATTATCTTAATACATAGTAACTGTATTCTAATTATATTTTTTTCTTAATTAATTTAAAAATATTTTGTGATCAACTATTTTTAATTTCAAATCTTTTGATCTGACTATAATACCTATCTATGATACCTGACTATCAAAAACAATTTTATTTTATTTTCTTAGAGACATGAAGATGTATAAATTATTTTACAAAATGTTGAGGAGAACTTATACCTACCATTTAATAATGACATATTAATAATTTTTTTTTTACCTAATATCCAATGTGATAATATATTTAAAACTATGAAATAACATTTTAAGTATACGTAGTCTTAGGAAAACCTATTTATTTTTGCGATAAAATCATTAAACTAATAATTAAATAATAGTAACAATACATAGCGTATAAAACTATTACAGTATCACAAAATGAGTATTTTTTGTTCAACGTCGACTGGAATATAATTCTTATTTGTAGTTTCACTTTACTTTACTTGAAGACCGCGATTGCGATGGTTAAGCGTCGTCACGAATGACATGTATAACTGCGATCTGGATGAGGAAGATGTCCATGATAGAGCGAAGTGGAAGAAAAACAGCAGGAAAGCGGACCCCGTCACAAGACGGGATTAACGCTAAGAAGAAGAAGAAGTTTCACTTTACTTCCTGGCAATGATAACGAAATACGTGAGCTTACAATTAAATCTGAAGCCATACTCACCCGTTTTTGTATCACTGCTACACGGATTATTGTATTTGATATACGTTTCAGGGTTGCGACACATTTCTTACTGATTTTATTTAATTTTAAGAATGTTAAAATATGATTGTGAAGATTTTCGTTTTAATCTTTATGAATAAATTCATTTGGATAGTAGTATTAGGCATATGAAATCATTATTAATTAACAAAATATACTTTATATTAATTTTATATTATTTTATGGCAAAAATAGAAGAGTGTTAGTAGTTAAGATATATGCTAAATATGCTACAAAATATGTAAAGCGTCTGTCTCGTAAGGTAGTAACTTAAATAATAGCGAAACATTATTTTGTAAAATATTTATGCTCTACTATAACCTAAAAGGAGTATGACAATATAATATTTTTAGTTGGATTTATTGAGAATACCTTCCCATTAACTATTTTATATCCATCTATGTAATAAAAACAATATTATACTACAAAAAATCCTGCTGCAAATGAGAGATACATCGTAGTCAAAATGAGATTACTATGTGAGATACAGATATGTTGAGTATACGTGAATTTATTAATATTTATGAGTCAAATATATTTCTACAAATAGTTCAGAAGGATATGCTTTTATATATGTATATATATTACATAACAATACTACCCATATTTTTTATTTTATGTAGTATTGTTTAATTTTTATTTTTCATGCATGTATTTACAAGCTGTTCTGTATCTTCAACCATTGACATTATAAGAGCATGATGATTTAAAATCCATTTATAAAGGACTGCAATGTAAGTCAATCATCTTCAATGCAATATATAAATATCAAATGTCTCCCCCATTTATACACCCTGCTCCCATTAATTAAATTGTGTCCAAGATGTTAAGATTTTGTAATCGAATACTGTTGTTGCTCAAAATCAGTTGTACGAAGATCCACTTTTGCTTTTGCTTTACGATATTTAAAATTAACGAAAACGGAAATGTGGTGTTTAAAGAAGACCAGTAAAGTCAGATTTATCAAATTGCTTTTATCCATACAATTCTTTTTACTAAATAAATGATATTTTTTAATTATTACCTGATGTTTATCTAATAGGAAAAACTAATACCAACACAGCACTGTCTTTACTTTTATTGTGTATAACTTTTTATTAATATAACAATTAAATACTAAATAGATATTTGAACATTATAATATCAGAATTTACATCAATGAACGTTCTTTATTATCAAAACTGAAAATAAACCCAAAATTACGTTCTATTTTCAATTCCTGAGAAGTAATAAATACCAAGCGGAAATAAATTCAACAAACAAAATAATATTATTTAAATTAAGCAGGATATCAACATTTCAATCAGTTTTGATCATTGAGAATAATAAATATGTGATACTAGAAAAATATGTTAGGACATCAACTGTTACTAAGTTTTTTATTTGCTTATATTAAACATACAACTATAATTGATTCATTGACACCTTTGATTTGATTTCAGTGTATATCATATTATGAGAATCGACCATAACTCGTATCTTTTGTGTCTCATCAAATATTATTTTTACTGAAAGGCCAAGTGTAAAGAAAACTGGAAATATTTAAACTTGAAATTATAGTATTATAAAATAAATGTAATGCACAAAGGATATAATATCTTATCTCATAAAAAAAATCTCTACCACAAACCATTTTGAAAGAGAAAAGTAAAATAAGATATTGTCGTGTAGGTAAGTAATCAAAAAGAGAAGGTAAAACAAGCTATATATATATATATATATATATATTTTAAGGTGGTAGAGCCTAGCTGTGGTCAGTTACTACAGCTCGAACATGGGCTGACTCGACCGGGGAAGTACCACCCTCTCACAGAAGATCGGCGTGAAGTAGCCTTTAATGGCTGCGTTTCTTCCAATGAGTGAGAGAGCCGGTTGCCCTTTCCTTATTCCCACCCTTTCCTACCATTTCCTTATTCCCACCCCTCCCTATCCCTGAAAAAACAAGGTTGGCAACGCATCCACAACAAAGATGTTGCGGATGTCCATGGGCGACGGTAACCACCTTCCATCAAGTGGGCCGTTTGCTCGTTTGCCACCTTTAGCAAATATATATATATGAATATATATATGAATAACTAAATAAGCATACAAATAAACTTATAATAATAGAAGATATAGATTTAATAATAATAAGATTTACATGCATATCAATTTACTACAAAAAATATAAATAAACATTACATATGAGTCGATGTCTAAGTCGATGTTTAAATGTGTGAGTTTCAAAATTGCGCAGCTTGGACAGAGAAGGATTTACGAAAAAAAATGTATTAAAGGGAGGGATATCAAGAGGATTTTGTCTAACACAAGAGCGATTAGGAAGGATACTGAGGAGGAAAATTTATATTATGAGAATGATATTGTCCAATAATCAAAGAATTTTTTTAATAATTTAACAGACCTAGGTAAATATTTCAGATCTCAAGAAATAAAGCGCCGGTAATAATGATGTCGAGCGTGAAACTACTTTTGAAACTCAAACTTGGTGTTTTGGCTATAACCCAAATTAGCAGATTCAGAAAGTTCTTATAAATTACCATAGTCATTTTATAAGGCCTGGATGTTTTCTAAAAAGTATTTTTCACACAGTTTTATAAGATCTAACTTACAAAAAACCTACATAAATTATACTAGAAGACATTTGATTACCAATAATACAACACGACAATTATTATTATTATTACTTATTTCTAATATTCTGGCTAATGTTATATTTGAAATGGTGAGGAGTTTCTCTTATGAGTTTGTGTTTACATTTATTCCATAAATTATTACGAATTCCAGTAATCAAATAAAGAAAAAACGAAAGGCAATTCAAGCGTTATTTGCAGAAAAGACTTGATATTTTCCTCTCTTCTCTGACTGTTATCCACCAAACTTCGCCCCGTTCTACGTCATCATTCAATGGTCAAATCCTTCAGATGTGTAGGCGTACTTATGTGGCATTATTAAATATATTTTATTTGCTCTATATGAATAATTCTTCAGCAATTTAAATTGTCATATTTAATTAGAACTCAATTTGTGAATCAAAACTGAAATGTTAAAAATTAAAATTGTATTATATTCTATCTTAATTTGTGAATGTATACTGAGCTCAGCTTTCTGGTTAGATTCTTATTATGGTACCTAGTAATAATAAATGATAATAAAGGAAAACTGAAACGATTTTTTAATTATTAGAAATAAAATTAATAACTGGTACGTAAATTATTAATTGCGAGATAGAAGTCAACATTCAATTTTTTGACTGAGGATTTGCTAAGATATCATATGAAACAATTCAGAATTATTTTAGGCATAAGATATACTTCTCCTCTCTTTTTCTTGAATTAACCAGGAAACAAATAATTTCAATTGATGCTTTAATATAAAATCATCACGTACCTAAATTTAAGGTTACACTGACTACGTTAAAGAAACGCTAAATTAACCTAACCCGGCCTTACCAAAAAACATTTGTTTCATAACTTACATAATGGATCATTAAAAACGTTAGAAAGGAATGGAAATAATAATTATAGACCAACAATTAAAACGTTATCAGTGATATTTAGAAGGTGTTGATCAGAAGAAAATCTTTTTATTTGATGAATGAAAAATTTTACGACAGTTTTTACATAACTATGTATATAATGTAAATAATGGAAGTTCGCATATAAATGTATAATTTAATAATAAAAAGACTGCTTTTAAATACATAGGTGTACAACTTTGCTTCCGCCGTTTTGCAATAGATGGTTGTAGCGGTAAGTGGTAGTCGAAATAAATAGATCGTAGATGTCATAAAATAAGCTTAGGCATTTGTAAACATAACGCCATCGAAATATTAGTCGATTTGTGTCTGCATCATAAAGTTATTCTTGATTAAACATGTCAGCTTACGAGGAAAATTCTCGTCATTTGCGGGAGGTTTTAATTTTATGCTTTCATATGAAGAAATCTGCGGCTGAGGCTCATCGAATGCTCTCAAATACCTATAGTGAGGCTGCTATTAGTGAAAGAACGTGCCAAGAGTGGTTTCAACGCTTCAAGAACGGTGATTTTGACGTCGAAGACCGGCATGGCGGTGGAAGAGAGAAGGTTTTCGAAGATGCAGAATTGGAGGCATTACTTGATCAAGACTCTTGTCAAACGTAACAAGAATTGGCAGGATCATTGGGAGTGATGCCACAAGCCATTTTAAAACGCCTGAAAGTCATGGGAATGATTCAGAAACAAGGAAATTTGGTGCCGTACGAGTTGAAGCCGAGAGATGTTGAACGGCGTTTGTTTGCTTGTGAACAGCTGCTTGCAAGGCAAAGACGGAAAGGATTTCTGCATCGCATTATGACTGGGGACGAAAATTGGGTTCATTACGATAATCCCAAGAGCAGAAAATTATGGGGATATCCCGGCCATGCTTCCACGTCGACGGCCAAACCGAATATTTACGGTTCCAAGGTATGCTCTGTATTTGGTGGGACTAGCTCGGCGTAGTGCATTATGAGTTGTAAAAACCGACTGAAACAATCACAGGCGATAGTTATCGAAAGCAATTAATGCATTTAAGCTGAGCATTGAAAGACAAACGGCCGCAATACAACGAGATACATGATAAAGTGATTTTACAGCACGACAATGCTCGACCCCATGTTGCGGAAGTGGTCAAGACATACTTGGAAACGTTGAAATGGCAAGTCCTACCCCACCCGCCGTATTCTCCAGACGTTGCTCCCTCGGACTATCACTTGTTTCGATCAATGGCACACGGCCTGGCTGACCAGCACTTCCGGTCTTATGAAGAAGTTAAAAATTGGATCTATATGTAAATCGCTTCAAAAGATGACCAGTTTTTTCAACGCGGGATTCGTATGCTGCCCGAAAGATGGGAGAAAGTAGTGGCCAGCGATGGACAATACTTTGAATCATAAATGTATAACCAGTTTTTTACAATAAAGCCTCGAATTTCGGAAAAAAACGGCGGAAGCAAAGTTGTACACCTAATATATCTGTATAAAATATCCAAGATCCTGATTTGTTTCT